TAATCATTCACGTCAATGGAAAATCAAAGTCAAAAGTTACTATTATTATGACTTTAATACTTGTGTTGCTGGCACAAAACCATTTGCAGACCAAACATCACCTTTCTGTGTGTATAGCAAATTTCAAAGGGCAATCAAATATCTCAGGGGGCCCTAAACTTGATGAAGGCATCTGAGAAGATTAAGTCCACTTACAGCCAAGAAAACAGGCTCTGAAAAGATCAGGGCTTGCCCCTTAGCTCATAATTAGCAAGAAGCAGAGCCAGGATTCAAACCTCCATGGTGAGCTGCCTCCATCTTTCCACCAAACCACTTGGCTCCTGTGAGAAAGCCCAACCTCCTGGAAATGTTTTTACCTAAGTACATAACAAGCACTTCTAAGTGCGTATATAAGACACTGTTATCAACCTTCTGAGACAACAGAAAGACACGCTGTGCTTGGGGTGTTTCAACTGTGCAGCTGGTTCCTCAAAACACTGTACCTATTTCAGTAGCACTTTCTTCCCCCAGGTGGCAGCCCTGTGGACAACTGAGAGCCTGCAGGGCACTCCTGGTCGGTAAGCTTACTCTGACCTCTTAAGCCACGGTGAATCCACGTGGTAACCCCCAGGAGTCCCCCAGCTCCAACAGACTCCTCACACATGCAGGAAGACCAGTGGAGCTGCATCCGGCCCAGAAAGGCCAGCTCCGCCTTCCGCATTCCCAAAGGTGGGCCCTGCAAGGAAGGGCAGCTCTGTCTCCCTGGGAGAGAGCTCCCCTGATTTTGTACCATCTCCCAGTGATGGGAAAGTAATTATCAAATGCTTGAAAATGAAGACTATCAGAGCCTAGCTGAGAAGAGTTTGGGGCTCTGTTTAGGTATTTTAAATTAAAGAAAGATCCTTCAATATTTAAAAAATCCTCCCACAGTGATCCACCTGACCTCCGGGAGCCCCAGGGCTAAGCCTATACATGCACTAGATGTTCAGGGCACGGGGGAACCACTGCAGTGGTTGCTGGTCTACCCCATCCTGTATTATCTGAGTGTGCTGGACACATGCCACGTGCCCCGCAGAGCCCTTCTACCCTTCTCCACTCTGCTCCCAGCTCTAGGATGCATCAAGTTCCCAACATTTGCTGACGCATCAAGAGTCTCCCTTGGCCACTGACTTCCGGTCTGGTTCCACCAAAGGGAGGCACCAGTGAGGGAAGTGAGGGTGGAAAGGGAGTGAGAGACGGCCTCCTTCCAGGGAAATTAGCTGCATCCTTCTACCAAAGGCCATGCCTCTACGGAGGGCTCATAATTTTAACTACTTTCTCCTTCACGTGCCAGTACTTCTTTTCTTTGCCCCTTCAGACCTAGGGGTGAGGAAAGTTCCTTGGTGTAGCTAGCAATTCCTGCACCCCCATCCCGGTCCCCTGGGGGGTGGTGCACCATCCTTGCTGGTTTCTTGTAACCCCCTTTATTAAATGCTCCTCAACTACTTCAGTTTGAGTGTGCCATCTGCCTCCTGCCAGGGCAGTGACTGGCAAAATAAAAACCAAACTGATCACCCTAGAATTTCACTCTTGGAACCTACATGCCACAATATGTGCATAATAATTTCCTTGCAATTTCTCCAAGTCACAGGTGACAGCGATCAGGCAGGGGAAAAAAAGGCCACCAATACTTCCAAAATAATTTACTATATTGCATACCTTGAAAGAGCAGAATTTGTCTTCTTCAAAAGTGAAGTGGAAATATTTTATTCATTTCAAACATGAATACTTGATTACAGTATTAGAAAAGTATGTTGTTACTAAAAATATTCTCTGTAGAATTCCTTTATAAGTACATTATCAATGATTACTATTATGCTTCAGAGTCACATTAACCGTGCATAAAAATTGCAAATAGGACAACAGCGTCAGTGAAATTTCCAGTTTTGCAAGAGCTGATTGAAAACGCTTCTTATCTTAAACACTTTATGGACTGGATAATAACAACATGGTATGAATTCAATTATTATAACAATAACAACATTGAATCAACATTTTTAAGAATTTAAGACTTAATAGTCAACCTCATCCTGAAGACCATTGATTGATGTTTTGTACTAAGCCAGGGTGACCTTCAGGAAATTAAAACATAAACCGAAGTTTCAAATGTAAAATCTATGAGCTGTCTCATGGGTGAAGGCAAGTGGGGAATCTCCAACAAAACTATATGATAGGATTCTGAAAAACTAAAACATGGATAACACACATTGACACTCATTAATCACTGAAAAATGGTTCCAATCCAATGTCAGTATCTACAATGTTAAAAAATTTTTTAAAAGGGCGTTCAACCAATTAACTGTAAACCATGTGTTGCCAAAATACTTTTTAAAGATGCCAAGTGTATGTCAACCAAGTGTGTTTGAGGAACAAGTCTATGCGACTTCATCTAAAGCCATCATGTGAAGGCTTATCGCAGCTTTTCCACGGACCTGGGCTCCTACAGAAGGGCGTTGGTTCCTTTCCCAGGGTTGAACCTGTTACTACAGGTCCCCGAGTACCAGCATTTTAGAAAATTTGCAACAAGTATTAAGGGAGGGAACACCATTTCTTTTTCTTGGGAAACCATGACAAAATCCAGATCTAACAGCCTTGGCCCTCTCCTATCTTTCCTACATAGTTATGATTTTATATTTATTTGTGTGGTTGACTAACGCCTATGTCCCCTTGCTAATAGGTGAGCTCTATAAAGGTAGGGACCAGTTCCATTTTGCCCATGACCCAGTTGAACACAGACACAGGTGCTCAGTAGATTCTCAAATCATTAAACCATACCTCCGATAGTAGGATTATGGAGAAAAATAAGTTTGAGACCACACTAAATATCCTTTTTCACAGACTTTTGACTTCGGAACTAAGGAATATTTTATTCTTCAAAATAAAAACTCAATCAAGAAAAGAACAGAACAAATTCAAATGAGATGTGACAACACGCCCACTGGGATGGCTAAAATGACAAACACTGACAATACTGAGTGCTCGTTAGGATGTGAAGCTGCTGAAGGCTCACAAGTGGCAGGGCGGAACGTAAATTAGCACAACCACTTCAGAACACGGTGTGGCATTTTCTGATAAAATGACATATACACTTATCATGAGACCCAGCAATCCCACTCCTAGCTATTGACCCAAGAGAAACGAGTTCATATATCCACACGAAGGCTTGTACAAGGATATTCAGAGCAGCTTTATTCATAATACCTAAAAACTGCAAACAATCCAAAATCCATCAGCTGGTAACCAGATAAACAAATTACGATATCGCCATAAAATGGAATATTACTCAGTAATAAAAGGGAATGAATTATTGATATGCACAATATTTGTGATTCTCATAAACATTATGCTGAGTAAAAGCAGTTGGAAAGAAAAGCATACTGTTCTACGATTTCAATAATACGAAATTCTAAACTTGGTAAAACCAATCTACTGAGAAAGAAAAGTATACCAGTAGTTGCCTGAGTGTTTGGATGGAGGGGGCGGAGACTGACTCAAAGGGGCAAAGGAAACTTTTTATGGTGACGAAAACTTTCTGGTCTCCACTATAGTGGCTGGTTACATGGGTATATACATATTAATCAAAACACTTTCATCGGGTACATTTATCATAAGTGTATTAAATTATGCCTCAATAGAGTTGATTTTTTTTTTAAAGAAAAGAGCAAGCCATAACTTTAAAATTAAAAAAATTTTTAAACAAAATAAGCTAACTAGAGGATCAAGTTGGTGACACAGACTTACAGGGACAAGAATTCTTTCACACGGCTTTTGAACTCAATATTGGCTGTACATTCTAGTGGAATGTATGTACCAAGGACAAAGTGAACCACAAAAAGAAAATACTATGTGTCAATCAGGATTATACTATTGATAGGGACAGACAACAGAATTTTGAAACTATTCTGTATATCTTGTAGAATAAAGCAAAAAGTGATGTTAAATGCGATATGGAAATATTACTAAACTCATGATTCTACTTTTCCTTAGTTCTGTGCATTGAAAGCCCCAAAATGGTACCACCCCAGCCACAACGAATACGCCTCATGTCCAGATTCAGTTTGTACACACCATTCTCCGCTGAAAGGAATCCGAGCTTTTTGGATGAATGAATGGCCCCCCCTGCCTGGAAACGGAAAGTCTACGATGAACCTAGGCCATTTCTGTGCAAGAAAGCAAGGAAGTACTCAAAGACTAAAATGGGCATGTTCCAAAGACATAAAAGGCGGCTTACAAAGGGCCTCATTGGCCAAATTTGGGACAATTTGAACACAAAAAGACAATGATGGCAATTTACTGTAAAGCACTGACTAAATAAAAACCTGTGAGTCCATAGTGACATTCACACAGAGAGATTCACTTGCCACCATTAGAGGTGATTATGACACAAATCCTTTTCTCTACAATTCAGTCACTACACTTGGGTCTGTGATGACAACTAAGGATAGAATTAGAAGAATCACCATTTTGCAACCCCTCCTTGCCCAGTGAAATAATCCAGGCAAGAATCACCAATGGATACGCACGCACGCAGTGCCAAATTATCTCTCCACAGATTATGGGCAAATTGCAAAGGGAATCACATATCATCCAGCAGAGTGATCTGGCATCACCAACTCAGGCCAGCGTTCAAAATTAGTATCACTGACAGTGGGACAACCTGGTGGGGTCTGATGGTTTAAGAAGCACCCAGCATTACCTGGCAACTGTTAAAACAAGCTTGAATCTAAACAAGCATTTGGATCTGGCTTCCAGGGCACACATAGACAAGATAAACAACATCACTAGGAAATAATAAGCCAAATTCAGGATGTGAGGCATCCTCTAAAACAACTGGCCTTGATCTAGAAAGAAAGAAAAGAAAAGAAAGAAAGAAAGAAAGGAAGGAAGGAAGGAAGGAAGGAAGGAAGGAAGGGAGGAAGGAAGGAAGGAAGGAAAGGAAAGGAAAGGAAAGGAAAGGAAAGGAAAGAAGGAAGGAAGGAAGAAAAGAAACGAAAGAAAGAATGAACAAAAGAAAGAAAGAAAGAAAGAAAGAAAGAAAGAAAGAAAGAAAGAAAGAAAGAAAGAAAGAAAGAAAGAAAGAAAGAAAGGGGATGGGGGGGATGGTAGGATCATTCCAGACTTAAAGAGATACAAAAATCCAGTTGCAATGCTTATATCTTCATTAGATCCAGATTTAAAAACAAACAAAAAGTTGCGAAAGACTTTGGGGAACAGCTGGAGAAGTTTGAACACCAACTACATATTTGATGCTGAAAGGAATGATTTCACATTTTCTGGGTGTGATAATAATGTTACGTTTATGCAGGAGAAGGTCTTGACTCCTACGAGATTCATGCTGACGTTTTAAAGGGTAAAGTGTCATGATGCCTACAACCTTCTTTAATTGGCTCATATAATTTATACATAAAGACAAAGCAAATATAACATGTTAACAATTATTGATTCTAGGTAGTAGGGTATATAGCAGGTCACTGTACTATCCTTGCAACTTTTCTGTAAGTTTAAATATTTTCATAATAGAAATATGAAAAGGGGGGGGAGAAAGCAGAGGTGACATCACAATTTGTAAAGTCCGATTCGAGAGAGAACCAGCACGCTACATATCTCCTTAGAAATACTCACTGAGCTGAACTGTGCCCATCCCCACAGATTCACATATTGATGTCCTAACCCCCAGGACCCCAGAATGTGACTGTATTTGGAGATAGGGTCTTTACAGAGGTAATTAAACTAAAATGAGGTCATCATTAGGCTGGGCCCTAACCCGCTATATGGCTGGTGTCGTACAAAGAGGAAATCTGGACACAGACACACACGGAGGGAAAACTGTGTGAAGATACAGGGAGAAGTCGACCATCTACCTGCCAAGGAGAGAGGCTTCAGAAGAAACCAACCCTGCCGACCCCTTGATCTCAGACTTCCAGCCTCCAGAACTGTGAGGAAATAAATTTCTGTTGTTTGAGGCCCCCCGGTCTGTGATACTTATTACGGCAGCCCTGAGCAAATGAACAGGGGAGATGGTCAGGAGAAGGAGAAAGGCTGCTCTTCTAATCCACATGGAGAAACGGCTCTTGCTACCTTGTGCACATTATCCATTCACTGATATAGAAAATCAAGTGCTCCCAGGATACTGCATGTGCGTGCGTGTGGAGAGGGGTGGGGGCTGAGATAGCTATTCGGGATGACTTCACGTCTGCTGCATCAGCTGGGGAATACCCAGACATCCTGGAATCGCGGCTTCTCGCACGCTCCCAAGATGCCTTCTCTCAGGGACAGAGATGTCTGCGGAGATCCCTGCAGCTTGGGTGTATCCTGGGAGAGACACTTAAGACGCACACGGCTGTCTGCGGTAAGGGATCAGACACCGAATTTTCAGAGAAATGTGTCAAATATACTAAAGCCTTTTCTCCTTGAAATAAAAGGAATAGTCTCATGCTTGTCATGGTTTCTAGTTATTAAAATAAGGGGGCATTTTAAATATGTATTTAATAGTGTTCAGTGTTTACCTTTTTGGAAACAAAGAAATGCAAATAAAAATAAGTAAAGCCAAGGAAATGATGTCTCATCAAATCTCTTTTCCTACTGTGCTTGAATCATGCCCAGGTTATGAGGATAGAGGGTCAGCTTTAGGATCTCAGGAAGCGAGAGCTGGAAAGGGCCTTAAGAGATCTCCTGGACAGCTCTCCTCACTTGACATTTAAGAGACCTAACCTCAGATGGGCAGAGCTTGTCGAGAGCACAGGGCTGGTGGCCTGGCCCCAGTCTCCAGGCAGGCCTCCCTCCACTTTGACCTTCACTCAGGGACCTGCCCTGGCTGTACCCAATCTATCCAGAGCCCTCCCCAGCAGACAGGTAAGGATGGAAAGGTTTTGCTGGAACCCTAGCCCACAGATTCTCAACATCTGCCCTACTGGCATTTGGGGCTGGGTAATTCTTTGTTGTGGGGCTGTCCTATTTCTCACAAGAAGTTGAGAAGAGTCCTCCCTGGTCTCTCGACCCACTCGATGTCAGTAACACCCCTCCCCCAAGTTATGAAAACCAAGTCTCTAGATATGGCCAAGTGTCCCCTAGGGGACCAATCACCTCCAGCTAAGAACCTCTACTCCAAAGCATGATAAACTACTACATGTATCATGAATCCCCTAAAAGAGCAAAGAGGAACCCCCAAATGCAAGCTCAATTTGAATCCAGAATAGCACCTTTCCCCCATCACTGACTTGACCCCCTGCAGATGGCTGAGGCTCTCTCTTCCGCATCCTCAATAAGGTCCCGTTTTCCCTCAATAAGGGACACCAAAGGACTTCAGTCTAGCCTCACCTCCTCACCTATGTTAATGTGAAAATACAGTCAGCTTTCTTGAGAAGGTCTCAGAAAGAACTCAGGGTTGACAGCACCGCCCCCACCTCCCCACGCACCTGTCCTTCCCGGTGTGGCCCCCTCAAGCCACATCCCTGAAAAGCCCTGCCCACAGCAGGATGATCACCTGCTTCTCACTGAGCGCTGAAGCCACACACGAGGTGCCCCAGCCCCCTTCCTTTAAAATCAGAGGCAATGACATCGCTGGCCCCATGGACCACAAGCCGTTCTGGGAATCACCTTCAGAATTGCCTGTGAAGATGGTCTCCGTGTGGACTAGAGGCGAAACCAGCCCGGAGATGCCTAAGGCTCTGCAGGTAACTCTGAAATCAAGCTCAGGGACCACAGGAGAAAAGCTACCTTCTCGGAAAATCATCACAAAGACACCACAAGGTAACAGAACTGTCACCTGCAAATATTAGTGATAAACAGGAATGATAATTCTCTACTGTAGACTACGGACTCCTAGTATTCCTGAAGCGACTCACAGAAGGATTAGGCCTTGGACCAAGGCCTCTGCCGACAAAACCACACGGATTATAGGTTTGTTCTTAATTTTCTAAAAAGCCTCCCCACGACATCTGGTGGCATGATCATAACAACCCTCCCCAACTATTAATAACTCCGTACCCCTGACATCCCGGCCCTGGAGAGGGGGCTGCCAAGTCTAGCCATGCAGTGCTCAGAGACCAGGAAGGGCTTTGCGACATCTGCATAAAACAGGGTAAAGCAGGCCCCAGGCCCTTTGCATGATCCTCTCAACTCTCTCCAAAGCCTCACCTGGTCCATACACAGCCCACACATCGGGCTGTCTACTGGTGATCTGTAGAAGACCTTTCGGTGCCTGAAGTCCACCAAGGCCAGACCAGATCCAGCATCTTCTCCCATCGCCCCCCAAGTCCCCCCTTGCCTCCTGCTGCTTGCCATCATGACATCACCATGCTCTTAAACCTCAACTCACAGTCTTCTTCCTTGTCTGCCCACCCCACGGCCCCCAGGTGTCATCACAGCCTGTGGATTCTAACTCCGGGACAGCAGGTCTGGTATCACCAAGGCCTTTCCTACAGCTTCCAGCCAAGCTCGACCCCTCATTACCCTGGCCAAACCCCCAGCCCGTCCTGGGCTCAAATCCACCGTTCTGCTTCCTGCTGCCAGGTGTAACTACCCCAAACGCCACTCCTGTCACACTGCTCTCCTCTCCGTGCTCCAAGCCTTCTACAGCTCCCCAGTGTAGACAGAACACACCCTACCTTCCAGGCGCGCGAGTCAAGCCCTCCTCCACACAGCACCTTCCTTAGCTTTGACCTCATCCCGTGCCATCATCCCCTCCCCAGTTCCCTCCTGTTCCCCTCTTCCACCGGCTTCCTCTCCAGCCTCGTCAGAGTCCATCCTGGTTTGTTCCTGCCCCTCCCATGGATGTCCTGAGGTGGGTCGGAAGGGCTTCACAGTCGGGTGGATCTCAGTTCAGATTCTGCTCCACCGCTGACTAGCTATGTGACCTGTGAAAGGTCCCCTAATTGTCTCTCTGAGCCTCAGTTTCCTAGTCTATAAAACGGGACGATAGTCGTGCACTTTGTAGAGTGCTGAGATCATTCAATAACACAGGGAAACATTTGCTCAAGAAAGGGTAGTAACTTAGGCCGGGAGAACACAGACCACAGCTTGCAGGTCACACTGAACGAGATGAGTCGTGGGACAATGGAAAGTCTCCCCGTCCAACACCGTTCCCGCAACACCTTTTACTCGGAGCACTGAGCAGTTTTGTGTTTTGAACATGAGGGTTTGTCCCCCTCCTCCCCCACCCTGCCTTTTTCTTTTTTTGGCTAGAGCCAGTACCATCTGTGAATTACGCTGCACAGGCCAGGTTTTCAGTCATTTGAATAAGACCTCAGGGAGTCTGAACTCAACATATGTCCCACAAAAACATAAAGTAATTCATATGCTTTCATCTATTAATTGGGAAAGGGCGCTTTTTAATCAATGCCTACATTTTTACGAACAGTCAGAGAAATGTCGGGTTCCTTCCACCACACCCAGCATGGCAAAAAAAGGCATCTTCCAACATATCAGCCTTCTCTAGCTAGAGGTAAGAAGGGAATACTAGCATTAAAGAGTAAACACAACGGATGGTTTTCACATAAAAATAAGAGGGGCGTGTATTAGCTTCTTAGAGCTGCTATAACAAATGACCACAAACTTGGTAGGTTAAAACAAAAGGCTCGCTCACAGGCCAGGCGTCAGAATCAAGAAGCTGACATGGCCACGCTCTTTGAAGGCGTGCCTCCTGCTAGGTCTGGCGGCTGCTGGCTCACAGCTGCACCCCTCTGATCTCTGCCTCCATCGTCACACAGCCCTCTTCCTTGGCTGTCTACGTCCTCTCTCCTTCCAGGGACACGAGTCATGGGATTTGGGGCCCACCCTAACCCAATATGACTTCACCTTAACTACTTAATCTGCAAAGAAACGTACAATATTTCCAAATGAGGTCACATTCTGAGGTTCCAGGTAGGCATGAATTTTG